TACATGGGGCGTTTATATATAGTCACCTGCAGCTGCGGTACAAATTGTTTGATAACGTTAATTAACCAATTCGGAAGATGCTATATTATACCTAGTACTAGGTACCTAGAGAACCTTAATAATTAGGTTATTATAAGGTTATCATTAAGGCTCTCTATAGTACTACCTATACAGTATATACAATCACGCACGAACTAGATAGAAGTGGAATGGCGATCATTGCACGCGGATCCCTGTAGAGTAATCTTTGAAAAGCCACGGACTCGCGAATTTATGAGCAAAACATATTATTTTAATAACAAATTTGTTCACACAATGTAATTCAATTCTTAAGTCTATCACACACGCTTATTTTTTCATTGCCAACAATACAATAAAAAATTGAGTGATGCGAAGGCTGATGTCGCATTTCTGCTACAGGTTTCGATACTTATTCAGGCTCGACACTAAATAGTTTTAACCGGAGATCGGAATCTATATTTTACAACCGATTCTTTAATACACTCTAAAAAACCTTTTTCGCAGAGTTATTTACAGTGGGAATAATTCCAACATTTTAATAAAACTTGAAGAACCTTGTTTGATTACATATAATCACAGTGCGTATACGTGTATTTATAGTATTTATACATACGAGCCATGTGTCATAGCTGATTTCGCAGTGTTGAAAGTCCGTAAAATAAAAATATATTTTAGTAGGTAAATACTTTAATACTTAATTATATAAATATATATATACTTCATCAAGGTTTTTGTTTTTTTTTCATTTAGACAATATTGTAATAAAACAATAAAAAGACAATATTGTTATCAAAAATGCTTATAAATCTTGATTTTTAATAATTTGTAACAAAAATGTTATACCTACAGGAAGTTTTGTAAAGGGCCCGGACAAACGTTTAGTACAGGGTCGCATGATTCGATGTGGGGCATACGACTATACGAACACTTAGCGTGTATTGTGTGTGTATATACGATCAGAAGACGATAACGTCGCGGTTCCTTGATTAGAGTAGTCTCCAGGGGAGCCCCGAACCACAGGTTAAAAAATCACTGCACTATTATACAATTATTTTAACACTGACAAAAATATGCTTCAAAATAAGCATATAATATCATAAGATTTATTGAAAATGTAATACATGTGATGGTTGTTTTTAAAGCAATTTGAAAATATCGAAAATACTTTTATATCGAATAATTTTTTTAAAACTTTTTAAGTTCAAATTTTGTCAGAATTACGAAAATGTATAAAACTATTTTGTAGTCGAATTATAAATGACAAAAGTACACAGTTCAATTTTATTAGCTATAATGCTTAAAATTCCCCGTAAGTTGTTCCTACAAAATATACCTATGCATAATATGCATAATTTTCAAATATATAGGTATTTTAAGTCAAAATTGGACATTTAAAACCAAAAATATCAGATTTTTATTGTTTTTTTTTTTCAATAGATATAAAACATATTAATCGTAAACATGACATTTGTCGTCATAATATTATGTTAATAATATTCTATTATATTAATACTATGTATATTTTTTACAATGACATTGAGGGAAAAAAATGTAGTTTAATTCTATTGATATTCAATTAAAGCATGAGCCTGTTCACACCAATATACTATTGATGTTGTTATATCATAGTATTGACTTAAAAGATGATACTTAACAATTAACAGTAATAATATAATACGAATGATATTATAAATATATATATATAATAGATACGACGTTTTTAGCAAAAATGAATTCAACTTACCGTAAATGGTCATACTAAAAAATACATAGAATATCGTATCCCTGGTTACAATATAGGCTGACAATCCGTTCCACTCAATGTTTCTTTTCATATGTAATGAATTTTGATTTTTTTTTTTTGCATTTATTGACTTCAATTCAGCACATACTTTTCAGTGCATGGCCTATTTCCCTCAACGACGAATTACATACTCGACACCTACTGGCTAATACTATAGGGGCTTACTGTTGTTTTTTTTTTCATATAGGCATTGATACAACCCAATCAGCGTATAACCTTGATATGAGTTTGATTAATCCAAAATTATAAAAAACGTATAAGACCATGATTTTTTTTATTCTGTAAATGAATTACAAACGTTTTTTTCTTATAATAAAAATTCATTAAATGTGTTTGAAAAGAAACTTGATGTTAATAACAACATGTAAAAAATAAATAATAAATAATAACAAATATACTATTTCAACTAAATTATTTTTTATATGTTGATGCAGATAGGTAACTAATTACAAGAAAAAAAATACCTACGTAGGTAAATTTAATATATCAGCCCAGCAGCCCGTAACTGGTAAGGAAAGATTTTTTGTCATTCATAGAAAAAATAAATGGGTTATAAATAATGATACAAATAATTAACTAAGTATACTTAGTTCTAGATATTTATATCGATTTATTCAATAATTATCATTTCATTGTCAATGGGTCATAAAATAAAAGAGATATGATTATTCAATGCAAAACATGATTAATTAAAATAAGTCAATTTTGTAAACATGGTAAATAAATTATAAAACAATATTGCACAAAATCATAGTTTGATTATAATTTATTATTATACTGATCGATCCTACACATAGAGGGTCGCAACACGTTTGGGTACATCGTATCTCTAGAAAAATAGCAAGTTTGGGTACATAGGTATTAGTATAACGCTTAGAAACATCTAGAAAAATAACACGTTAATACCTAATCGTTATATTAAATTAATATTTTGTTTCATTAATTTTAAATTTGTAGAGCCTATTACCGTTATCCAGGAGACACCACGAGGAGGTCGGCTCTTTTTAGTTCACGTCCATAATTACAAAAAATTAAATAATCTTAGAAGATTTTGCCGATTGTAAATCCAAATCAGAACTGAATGTTGAAACGTTAAATATTAGTTAGTTTCATAAACCAACTATATCTTATAAAGATAGTTAGTCGTTTCTGTTTATCATCGCTATAACCTATCGCGATTGGCAATTAGCGTATGCACCCAAATGTGTTCTACATCTGCAGGTAAAAATAATGCTATGTACCCAAACGTGCTGCACCCACGTAGAGTATGGTAGTCATCAGGAGCATCTTACCCTTCGAAATTAATCTCGTTAAAATCCTTTTACACCCACATAACCATTGTATTATAACTTATGGCCTAAGAATGCCGACCTCGCTTTGCTAACTATGGGTATAATGATGACCAAGGTACTCGGAACTGAAAAATGTTCAACTTGCACGCGGGTTCAAAAAAAGCTAATATTCACACTGCACTCAACTCCAGTACAAAAAAAAATCTATTTACTAACGAATACAGAACGATATCGCAGTCGACGGTGGGTAGAATAATGTGTATTTTTATTATTTAAAGTAAATGATAAACGGCTACAATTTAAACACTACATAGTTATAATTTCGAAATGATAATATAAAATTATGTAATTACGCAAACAATTAATTTATGTATTTCTTGAATAGTAGGTATAATTAGGTCGTGTACTGGCGTCATTGTAATTGTACTGCGTATAAATCCATCGACATTCGACACACGAGTTCAATTTTCAACTAAAATTAATAAATGTTACAAGTTCTATGGAATGATCGGATTTTAGCATAATCTTTCTTGAGCCCCAGTGCAATTAGACAATCCACCGTGCGTAATATGCCCAGTAGTTTGGCATGGACAAGACTCGGCCTGGCACAATATTTAGCTCGTTCGGTTGAACGTTAACGTTTGTTTGTTAAATTTATTACATCTCCGATTTTTGTTGTGGCCGCTTCAAATGGATAATATTATATGACATTTTCAAAAAATCTATTACGTCGAATGTAAATAGTTTAATATTATATTAGGAACACCTCTACTCTATTGTTACGAAACCGAATTATTAGTCGTTCGCTATATACCTACGCATAAACGGTTTATGATAAACCATATACGCGGATATTGGCTAATAAACGGTTGAAGTTTTATTTTCGGTTGACGCAGCATTATATCACTATTAAATAGTTGAAAGGACAGATGATTGTGGTTCAATAAAATAAAATATACCTTTGTGATGAGTGTTATTGAGGAGTTTTAAGTTAGTTATAATACGCTTACTAACTAACTGATGCAAATCGTAAAGTATATACGCGTAATAGAATTTGCATATTTTGAAGCGGTCTTCATTTTCTTATTCGCATAGTCTTTGTCCCGTTCCCGGAAATTTTATATTTCATTTCTACCGCTACGAAATGTGTTTAATTTGTTTTCGTTTAATATACAGCGCAGATAGGTGTGTAAAGCATTTTGAAACGAACAATGAAACAATTTTTTCACTTAAATAAACTCGGAAATAATGAAAATTGAATTGACTTTTTATCTTACGGTTTGCCGCTGAAATAATATTTTGGTCTATATATTATTATATACTCGTATATAAAATAAACAGAACACAATAGTAATTTTAAAAAAATACATTAACCGTTCGCCGAGATCAGAAACTTACTTCGAGTATACAATAATACCGCTCCTAACCGGAATACAACAATAATTGTAAACGTGCTGGTGCAGTGTTCCTTTTTCAAACTTATCGTCACCCGACAGATTAAAGATGACTTCTTGGTGACTTTTGCTCATAAACATTATCTGATCGAAGAGCATTATAAATGAATTCTATACATTATTGTAAAATGGGTACAAAATGAAATTAAGGATATGATATTATAATACACGACAGTTGTCAATCGACCATTTTAATCGTAAATAATAAACAATATACAAATTAAAGAATATTGCTTTTGAAAATAAAATAAGAATAACAAATAACCGTACATTTTAATATAATATAACCAGAACTTTTTGATTTACATTAAAAATACTATTGAATACTATTCCAATTCTACATAAAAAAAAAAAAAAAAAAAAAGAACATATTACCAAAATTAAATGTTTGACTTATACATTCATACAATACAATATGTTATCCACACATAATGATTCAATATTTATTATGCACAAGTGACGAAATATATATAACGTAAAATAATAATAATATATGAAAACACCGAGGACTAATCAGTATCGTAAATACATTATACATATTATAATAAATTGTGCGCTCAAAAAAAAAAAAAACGGAACATAATTCTTTTATTTTCCAAAAATAATATTATGCATCATAATACGATGTATACATTAGGCAGATATACAGTGTTAAAAGTTTGTAAAGTAGCCGAGGTGTGGGGAGTCGTACATTTTTTTTTTTACCAACACTGCTTTACGTTCCGGTTATATTTAGGAAATTTGTTATTTAGGTTCACTCCAACAAAAATCAACACTCATCGTTTTATTTGTGTCATAATCTGGTGCCAGTTATATTTTACCTACCATTTACAGGCAAGAGTTATGTATTAGGTATGACATATTATCACACGACTTAATTTGTGGTAATAAATTATGCATCCCATGAGTTCATATCAGTGACGTGTAATAAAATTTACCATAAGTTGTAAATCTTCATTTTTTAAATATTTGCAATTGACTTAATCGTTAAAATAACAAATGTTTTGATATACTAATCAAATGAATACATTGAGAAAATATTGTCAAGATAAAATTATAAGCGCATCTACACGTAAATTATTAAATTTTTTATTCAGAATTTAATACAATACCGTATAGGTACTTGTTTATTTTATACTATTATATTTGATATAATTGGTAATTTTAATATGTGACCATTTTCAGTATGAAACCTATGTTCACAAATCATAAAAAAATTAAAAAGTTAAGAGTTCCGACTATAATAAAATTAGTGGGTAAAACAACAGAAATCACTAATTTGAGTACACGATATTAAAAAATGGTTATGTTGGTGTTACAAATTGAAATAAAAATAGTTAAAAGTGAAAAATAGATGCATGGGAAAAACTTGAAAAAGTTAACGAAATTTTACTATTTTAGAGGCTTGCTTATGACAAATGTTCCGGCTACTACACAGGATAACGAGTGATAACGCTTATCATATTTAATTATCAGGGTTTCCAATTTCTTTTAGTTATATTTTTATCTCCCAGCTTATCAATGCATAATGAAAAATTATTATAAAATTATTATTATTTACATAAAAAAACAAAGTTCTCGGCGGCTGTTCTCGTTCTTCTTCACCTTGCATCATAAATAATATTATTATTTAGTATAAACATTACCGCTGTGGAGGAGAGTGATGTACAAGGTGCTCATCTAGTCCGGTCGACGATCTTGGGCGGCAGAGGCGGAAGGGGCAGGCGGCGGTCCGGGAGATCCGCGGGCGGCCGTAGTGTTCCTGTGGCCGGCGCTGCCGCTGCACATCATCAGCTGCTGCTGCAACTGTTGGAGCCACCACGGCGGCGTGGCCAGGGGAGACGTCGTCGTTGACGGCGGCGGCGGCGGCGATGACGACGAGGACGACGAACACTGCGGCCAACCGCATTGGACGGCGGCCGACATGGCGGCAACGGTGCAGGCTGTGCCGGCGGCCGGTTCCGGTAGAACCGGCAGCGGTTTTCATATGACATGTTGAGCGTGTAGTCCGGCCGACCCGACACGATCCGGCTTGACGAGCAGAGCGATGGGCCGCTTGATGACGGCCGCAGCGGCGGCGGTGGCCGTTGATAAAAGTGGTGGTGGCGGGAGCTGGGCGGGTGGCGACGGCGTGGACGACGACGTGGATGACTCGTGCGCCGGCCTAGGCGGCGGCAGCCGCTGCGGCTGCAGCGATGATTGGGACGGACGTTCTGCGTGCTGACCGCACTCGGCGCAGTTGACCGGACAGCCACCGTTGGAGACGGCCGCCGTAGCGTTCGCTGCGGCCATCATCGGCCACCCGGTAGCCAGCGACACGGCCCGAGAGTACAGAGAGCTGCCGTAGAGCGCATGCAACGCCAGGTCGTGGACGGCTTTGCCCGCGGCAGTAGCTTCGGTCCCAGTACTACCGCTGCTGGCCACCGTCGACAGGTCCTTGGCCACCTGTTGGTAGAACGATGAAGGGTAGTGGTGGTGTTGGTACGGCGAGAAGTAAGCGCGCGGGAATTTGGCCACGGCCACCGCGTTGGCGGCCGACTGATGTTCACCGGCCGTCGACATGTGCGCCATCGATCCGGCGGCCGACACCGCAACAGATCCGCTACCGGCGCCCGCGGCCGACGATTCGTGTTGCGGCAACAGATCGCGCACGGAGTACGGAACTGGTTTGCCGGACACTGCACCTGTGTCGGTTTTTTTTTGCACCATCGTCTTAGGCTTGCGACGTGGGCGATACTTATAGTCCGGATGCTCCTTCATGTGTAGCGCCCTGTAAAAATAACACTTGTATACAGAGTGTTCGATTTCGTAACATTATTTTATTGTATATTATCATCTTATGCTTGGGATTGCGAACGTTCAATTATTCCAACCGAAATTTTTTCAATCATACCGATGAACCTATTAATTATATTTTTGAAAAGTGATTTGAGTTAAATATTATGTCTACTTAAGACCGATCGGGGCACTTTTTTTTAAATGTTGTTAATTAACTTCTATACACTTTGTTTGAAAATGTACAATTTATGAAATTTTAAATATTGATTACTCAAAATGTTAATTAAATACTTTAATATGTGTTCTGATTGATTTCAAGTAGACATATTAACAAATTCAAATCAGTTTTCAGCTTTCTAAAAATTTTACCGTGACGGATCGGGCCGGGCAGGGCAGTAATTATCAGCCTGTGCATACCTCCAGTAGCTATATTATTTAGTAATGTTCGGCAGTTATGAAAACAGAGAAATTTGTGTGCTTATACTGTGCCCATAAATATAATCTACGACCTACACATTTGTCATGATTCCTACAATATGTTAATTAATTTTACTCATTATTTTTCATTAAGCAAAACAGCGATAGTTTAATAGTAAAGTAAAGTATTTACTAGCGAGCACAAATGATCAAGGGGATTTCATCCCGGATGGATTTTTGTATCAGTAAATTAGGTCTATTATATGCACATTATACCAACTATCCTTGGCATCGGATGACACTTCTGAAAACATAAGAATTTGCTGTGAATTTTACTTAAAAACGACTTTCCTCCCGTTTATTTGATTCCAACCCTAAACCTTTCAAACTTATATTTTGAAATGTTGACATAAGATTTAATTTAAAAATTAGTTTTTAAATTTATTTTAGTGCGAATTCAAATATGTTGTCAATGATGTTATCGGATAAATAAGTCATTTAATACAATTAGCAAAATTATGTTATGTCCATTGTTCAACAAAAAGTTATCCAGTAATAAATATTCGCGAAGCGCCTTATTGACATGTGCGTACACGTGCGGGAGAGACAACATTAGAGTACAAAGCGCAGCAGCAATCTGTGTGATTTATCCCGATCGAAATTATAATAATATCGGTGACATATAGGGTTAAGAGGCTAGTCCAGGTAGTGTGATCCGGGTGATATTTCACCCCAGTCTTTTAGATCTAAGTGGAGCAATGAATATATTAGTATTATTATGATAGGGTTTTATTTTGTGTGTCACCATCAGCTTTTAGAAATGTAAAAAATACTTGAATCTTTGAGTTTCTTTGGTTTCTGGCAGCGAATTGGATGTTTTAGATAATTATTTTGGCGAGTGGAATTTTCTTAAAAGTGGAAGAAACAACAAGACGGTAAAGGAAAATGGAAATATTATTGCAAGTTCAATATTTGACAAAATCGATTTTGTTATTCTATTGTAATTTATTCAAAAACGAAAATCCAAAGATACTCGATATTTTTACCAAATATTTATTATAACCATACTATTTATTTTCATGATATAATTTTCAAAAGATTTTGGCTATCTAAAAACATTTGCAACTTTCGGCTTTTTTAGTTTTATTTGATTTGTGTTAATACCGTTGAAACTTCATATAACTATATAGATTCTCGATAAATCGACTTAAATGGAATTAAAAAAAAATTAATGCAAAAAATAGCGTTTAAGGTTTTGATGTGGTTTATATTCGTCAATATAACGAAAATGTAAAAAATTGATTTATAGTTAAAAATGCATATCATTTTTAACATTACCTAATACCTAAGATATACCCCTAATACCTAAGACTTGAAAATAAACATAAGAACTAATATTAAATCACGTTCCATTTCGCCTAACATGAATATAATCGTTTGAAAAAAAAAACAGTTTGTTTAACAATAAATATCAAACAGTATCAATAAACAAACAATAACATGCAGTTTCATGTTTTAAGTTAAGAACTTTGGGCACAGAACTATAATAGTGAGCTTCAAGTTAACATAAAATAAGGAACAAGGGCCAGTTGAGTTTCCCTGACATGTTGATCTTAAAACATGTGCGTTTCTTTAATGGTTAATTCACTGAGCTCCTAAGGGGCTATTCAAGAAAATCAAGTATCAGCAAACCTGAAATTTATAAAAAAACAAAGCTTATTTAATTTGAAGCTAAGCACCATCCGAATGCATTTGGTGATATGATTTTTCAGTGTTTTAATAGCTAACGATTTAAATTATTGCGAAAAAATAGGTAAACAATACTATACAATATTGTAAGTAAACGGTTAGGTTAGTTAGAAAAACGGTTAGATACATTACATTATTCTTTCATGACTAGAAGACTAAATAGGTAGGTACTATAGTTTGTCTATAGACATGATAGCATGGGCGTAGGTAAGGGGGAGGTTTTTGGTGTTCAAACACCCCCCGAAATTAAATAAAACAATCTTGAGCTTTTTGTGAATTTGTTCGAGAATATTATTAACTCGCATATTATTTAGGATTTAGACAAAAAACCCCTCCGAGAATATTTTCTACCTACGCCCATGCACGATAGTATTTCATAAAATTAATTTTGATTTAATATAAAAATAACTCAGAACCGATACATACAATTTTCTGTTGTAAAAGTGCAATAACAAGAAGTCAATACTTAACCATCCAATAAACTAAACCCAAAACCACTAATATCTCAATATGGCTAGACTACAGATTCATTAAAAACCCATTAAAATGTACAAAAAATTCTTGAAATACCTCATACAATATAAAATGTGATGAATGTTGATTCCAAATTAATGAGATTTTTATTTTATGTCATTAATTTTGAAACAAAATGTTCGCTCAATTGGTATTATCTACTCATGAAATAATTATATTCAAAATATATTCTCAAACGATTTTTGTCATTTTTGAATTTTAAGGTTTAAAAAATATTAATCGTAGGGATGGCTTTGAAACTTCATACCATTAGGTAACATAGTACATTTTTTATACACCAACACCAAGCAATTTTCATACTATACCAACTAATATTAAGAATGACTTATTATAAGGTATTAACAATGTTTTGGGCAAAAATTAATATAACCTGCCGAATTAATTTAATTACTAATAGTAATACAAATATAATATAATATAAAACAAACAATTATCTTTCAAAATATATGCTGAATTTTCAATACATACAGACTACAATAAACACAATATCCTCTACGTCTACAATGTCCAACATACTCAAAATTGTAAAAATCAAGCAGCTACAACCAGATTTTCATAAAAAAAATATATTTTAATCGTTATATCGTATAATATTGTATTATTTTAAAGGCTGCATGTAAATCGTGTACAATGGTTACTAATAATATTTGTAAATCAAATTGGAAATAATCAATATTTAATAATAATCACTCTGCAACATTAATTTGGCTAATTTATATTATAAATATCTTGAAACTTTTGAAACCCATCTTAATTGTTCAAAAAATGTAACTAACAATATTTATTTAATCTATAAACACAATGACCTACTGTACATAACTTTAATGTAGGAAGTAACATAATTCTTTGTCAATTCTGTTTCGATCCTCAACTGGTTGTTGTAAAGCATAACACAACCATGACATTTATTTACTGACTCTGTCCATTACTTGAAGCAATAAAAAAAAAACCATAAAACAATAACGATTTGTATGATTTAGTTATTTATCGAATGGAGTGAACGATTTCAATATTACATAAGGTAACAAAACGTATTAAAAATTATTGTTGCAAGCGTGTAACGAGGATGAAAAAAGTTCTCAATTATCTAATAGTAGGTATTTTGTACGCACCAAAATAAAAACCGTAGATATTAAAGCCTAAAAAGAGAATCATAAAAATACTGACTGTGAAACCGACCGTCTTGAAATTTTTAAATTTTCCGGAGTGAAAATAATAATATATCACTGTAAGTTCCCAACTTAATTTCTATTCACCGTGGAATGAGGAATGTCACCCTATTATATGACTAACGAGCTGTAAATTATAAACAAGTTTCGGTTTGTACGTTTACAAATTTGTGTTATTTATATTTCTGAGGGGAGGGTTTCACACAGTTCGAATATTATTTTAATACAGCATTATAATTTATATAATATGGTTAATGTATACGCGTGTAGGATAGAGTCTAGACGCTATTAATGGAAGATAATCGGTGTATAGGATGTTATGTAGATAAATAATTATTTTTTATTTTAAACAAATGATTAGAAATAAATGGTTATTTAATGTATATTACGGATAGATAACGAGACAACTAAATACGCATATATTTTGTTAGTGAAGAAATGGAATATGAAAATAATAGTTTATCGTTAGTTTTAAACTATTCCAATGAATTACCAAAACGCCGTCATATATTTCAAGATAATATCTGCATTTTTTAGTAAATAAAGAAGGTACATTTTCCTACATCTCAGCCCTCAGGTAGTGGAAGAGCACGGGGTCTATTATAGACCGACGTTGACTCGCTGCAGAGAAAATGTACCTTTATATCAGTGGTTCTTCATCGGTGTTCAGTGGACTTGGAATGAGTGTTTCGCCAAAATTTTAAAATCAGTGGAAAAATTATAAAATTGTATTTATTCATTTTATTCATTTTATTATTTTTTAATGACCAATATGTAGTATGTAAACTGTACTGTCCTATACATGCAATATGCATTGCGTTTAATGAATTATACAAATTAAAAACGTATTTTATTTAAACTTGTTTTATTTTAAGGTTGTGTTCTGCGAAAATCATATACAATTTTAAGGGTTCCGTCATTTGAAAAAAGTTAAGAACCATTGCTTTATAAACAGCGTGTTTATATAATTATTGTAGGTATTGAATAATATTTTTTTCACGTCACAACTCACAATCATAAATTGAAGAAAGTTCACACTTGAAAACCATAAAAAATATATTATTCTTTTAATTTGGTTTTATCTTTATCTAAATTAATTTGTAATACCGACCTGCCATACTGG